TTCTGAACGCTATGGGGCGCTCCAGCCATGCCCAATTTCCGCAGGTGGGGCTCTCCAGAAGCAGCCCACTCATTGCACGATGCTGACGCCGATGTTGGTGCCGTGCACATGCTTGTCCGCGTCAGCCGCGGTTGGGCTCTCTGCCCTGGGGTCTTTGTACTCCGAGAAGACCTCGCTAGTGCAACCGCCCCTATCGAGCTCTGTGGCGCAGCGCTCCCAGAAAACTTCGCTAACACCACCACCTCCTCGGGACTCTGCGGTGCAGCGCACCGAGAAAACCTCGCTATTGCCACCACCTCTTCCGTACTCAGCGGCGCAAGCGCTGAAGTTCCCGCTCCACGATCCTCTCCAGCTCCGACCTGGATGCCGCCGACTGGGATTTCTTGCCCCCCGCGTCGACCATCAGCATCCCCATCGCCATCCTCAGGTTGTGGCCTGCGAAAAGGTCCAGCTTCGCCATGGTGTGTTCCTTCATGCTGTTTGGGAGCGTTGGTCTGAAATTTGGGGACTCCTTGGTGCCGATTTGGATATTGCCCGACCCCTCCTCCAAAAATTCCTCGTCCTCGTTCGGGTTCCTGTTCTTGTTGTTGCGCGCCTGGTAGCCCTCGCTGCCCCTTCACATCTTGATCGTCTCCATGATCACTGCTTGGCTGTGCTCGTTGTTGTCCCCCATCAGCTTCAGGAAATCGTTCAGCGTGTCCATGGCTCTGTCTACTGATACTGGTACAATCGTTTCGTTTTCCTTCAGCCATTCCGACACCATCGCCTGTATGCCTCCCATGAGCGCCATTCCCGTGTGAATACCTGGCGGTCCCATCTTGTGCCCCTTGCCCTTTTGCCTGATCTGGTTCCCGTAGCTCTACCCCGCTGCCAGCGACTTCCGAAACGCGAGACTGCTGACTGGTATGCGGTAGAAATCCGATGTCATGTGGCGAGGTGGCCTGTCCAAAATGCGGCAAATGCCGCCTCGCTCGGCGGCGGAAATCCGCGATTTCCCATAGAAACGGGACCCGTCGCTAATCCACGCCCCAGTGATCCATGTTTGCAATCGCCTGAAACAGGGCGAGTTTCGTGTGAGCGGTTGGTAGGAATCCCTCTTGCGCAGGGTCTGCCCTCGCCCCCCGCTTCTCGAATAGTAAGGCGGCGGAGGGGATGGACGGAGGAGGGGAGGCCCTGAATAGGAGTTGGCGGAGAAGAGCGACGGAAGAGAGAGACCCTCACACAACCCAGACCGTCATCCCAAACACATGACTTGTCATATGCGCGCTCGGCAGCGCCTGTGCGCGCGGGCATACATTCTCGACGCCGGCTCTGCTCGCGGTGAAGATGGCGGGGCCGACGTTTGGCGCTCATCCGAGCCCCCAGACGTGGCGAAATTGGCGCGCTCCCTCGAATCGCCGACCGCAGCATCGCAACTTTCTGACTTAAGTCGACCGAGATCTCGGCTTGCGCATATGTTCGGTTTGTGCGCAAACATGGGGTCCGATGTCGGTGGAGAACGGGGGATGCGACCGTGGGGTCCAAGAGGGTTTTGGACCCCTGCGGGGCCTCCAAAAACCTGGCTGACGAACCGACCACCGCACCCTCACGTTACTTGCGGAGGTCGACCGATGCTTCGACCTACGCCATGTGTGCGTACACGGCACGCGTCGACTTCTAACACCACGTCAATTCAACCTCTAACGATCCGCAGATGTTCGATTGCCAGATGGCTTAACGTTGGCTTATTATGGGCCACTATAGGCGTTCAATCTCGAACGCCCGCGGCGGGGTCGACGCCGCGTCAACACGACACGATTCTGCCATGCGTGTTTGCCTATGCAACTATGGATGTGTGTAGTTAAGTGTGCATATTTATGCATGTCCAACATACATCTGCACCCTGTGACACTCGCCCTTCCGAGCGAACGTTTATAACTGCCTGAGGGGGCCTGGCCGTAAGATCATAGGCCAGACCAGAAAGGGAAACGGCAGCACGCCTCTTGCCAGCATCCGTGCACACACGATGGCCATGAACGACCACACGGAGGCACGGTGCCAAGACTACAAAGCAACGATCCCGTGGTCAGTCTACACGGAAATCATCCCACCAAGAAAGAGGCCTGGAGGCAACACATGTCTCTGCGGCTGTCCGTACCCGCCGTTGGAGTACGCAGTCGAGAGCTGGGTCACCATCGCGCCGTCATCCGCGTAGCTGGATCTTTTCCTGCTGGGCGGGGAGAGCGAGCCACCTCCGTATTCCTCCTCCTCGTCCTCATCCTTCTCCTCCTCCTCCTCATCATCATCGGCATCAGCATCAGCATGAGCATCAGCATCAGAATCAGCATGAGCATCAGAATCCTCATCCAGATCCCCTCTTCCGATCTGCTGCTGTTACTGTCCCTCCTCCGCCTTTTTTCTTGCTGTACTCCTCCTTCCGCCCCAGCCAAAGACAGAGAGGGCGAATCGCCTCGCCGATGCCCGACGGCAAGTCTTGTCCCAAAGGGACAGGGGCCGATGCTGGGCTAGCGGACTGTTGTATGAAATGAACGGCGCCCTCGGCGACATCAAAAACGATTCCTGTTCAATACGGGGAAGAAACGCTCTCAGACTCCTTATACATATGTATGTATGTGTGTATGTATGTATGTATGTACGTACGTGTATGTGTATGTGTATGTGTATGTGTATGTGTATGTGTATGTGTATGCGTATGTGTATGCGTATGCGTATGCGTATGTGTATGTGTATGTGTATGTGTATGTGTATGTGTATGTATATGTGTATGTATATGTATATGTATATGTATATGTATATGTATATGTATATGTATATGTATATGTATATGTATATGTATATGTATATGTATATGCATATGTATATGTATATGTATATATATATATATGTTTATGTATATGTATATGTAAATGTAAATGTATATGTCTATGTCTATGTCTATGTATATGTATGCCAATGCTTCCATGCCCATTTCGTTCCGCCCCGGGCGTCGTGCCTTTCGACTTCTAGCACGGGGCCAGGCAGCAAGACGGAATGCCAGCCTCGACAGTGGGTGGGCTTCGTGTGACTGAAGGCGAAGCCTCAGACTGCTCAGATCAGTCCTTCTGCTTTGTTCCATCGTCCTTGGGACCATTGACTGTGCCATCCCGTTGCCTTCTGCAGCTCCAGGGGGAGCTTGCAGAGAGGCCAGCGCTCGACCAGCTGAGGCCTTTCGACTTCAAGCCGGTGCGTTGCCCGTCCCAATGCTCACGAGAGTGAGCATTGAAGAATTCGCCGGCCCAACGGGCCAGAGGCGTGCTAAGATCTCTGGTAATGAGCCAAGAATCTTCTGGCTCGAGCGCGCGTGGCGGCCCCTGGGGGTCCCAAAGCGAAAAGAAACCTGGGCAACTCCCGGCAAGTCTGGGCCAGAGATGCGGGATCTCTTGGGCGCGGGCCTGGGGGCCTCTGGGACCGTCCAGGGGCGGCCCAATGAGTCGACAAATAGGTGGCAGGCCCTACGGCCAGAAACCAACAGCGCCCCAAGGCGGCCCAAGATGGCCTCACGATGGCCTTCGATGCCCCCAACACGCCCTTTGAGGCTTCCACGAGGCGTCCCAAAAGGCACAAATTATTAATCTTTCTTCGCTTTTGGGAGGTTTTCAGCTCTTTCTCGCCTTTTCGGCTTGTCGACGCTCCAAGAGGGCCCAAGAGGCCTCCAAGACCGCCCCAACACAGCCCAAGAGGCTCCCCAAATGGCCCCACGATGGCCCAAGACGGCCCAAGGCGGCTACACAGGCCAAATAACGCCCCAAAACGGCCCCAGAAGGAGCCGGAGACTCACCACAATCGCCCAAAGCCGTCCGAGATGGCCTCAAAACGGCGCAAAAGGTCGCCAAGATGGCCCAAGAGGCTTCCAAGAGGTCACTCGGAGGTTTTCAGCCTTCTCGCCTCTTCGGCTTCCCCACGCTCCAAGATGGCCCCAGAGGCCCCCAATACTGCCACAAGACAGACCGAGAGGCCCCCAACAGGGCCCCCAGACGGTCCAAAATGCCCCAAGACGGCCCTTGAGACGCCCAAAATCGCCCAAGAGGGCTCCAAGATGGGCCCAAGAGGGGGAACGCGAACCACCAATTCGAGCCTTCCACCCCAAGAGGCACCCATGCAGGAGGCCCCGAGAGGTCCCCAAAAGAGCCCAGGAGCCCCCTGGAGGCCCCACGAGGCCCCCAAAAGGCCCCAAAAGAGGCCCCGCGAGGCCCCCAAACAGCCCCCAACAGGCCACGAACGCGCAGGCAAACGCCTGCGATGGTACAACACGGGCCGGCGGAGTGAGCAAAGCGATTCGATCGGAGGTTGGGGGGTGAGATCGAAGTGGAAAAGACAGCCCCCCACCAGGAAATCCGTTTCGGTTTCGTGTTCGTGCGCGCCGTGCGTGCGGGCGGGGCGAAGTTGCGTGGGCGGGCGAAAGGAAAGTCTCCTGTGGCTGAGGCGCGGCTGGACCAAACGATTGTCCCTCCGGCAAGCGGTGGCACACGGTGTCCCGCCTTTGTCCCGCTTGTGGGTGGGCCCCAGCCGGACCAAATGATTTTCCCTCCCGCAAGCGGTGGCGCGCGGTGTCCCGCCACTGTCCCGCCTGTGTCCCGCCAGTGGTCGCTCGATGGCCTGGCGTTCGCATTGCGAAACGAGCTATGTGCTGCTGGCGCAATGATCGGCGGAACGACGGGGTCGCCTACGGGACCCTTGGCTTTTTAGCCGCTCGGCCGCTACAGCGCGGGGCCAGCCTATCAAAACAAAATCGTTATGGAACTCAAAAGGCTAAGGGCCTTATGGCCTATCACCTCTGACTCGGCTTAGTCCGCGCAGCTCGAATCGAAATGGTGCTGCATCGGTCCGCTCCCCACCGCCCTGTCCCAACTCCCACCACCCCATCCCCCTCGACATGCCGAATGCTTGCGGTCTCGCGAGGTAAGCACTGGTGTTTCATGAGAGCCCGTTGCTTCATGGAAGAAAAGCAGAGAGACCGAAACCCCGAAACCCCGCGAAGTCCCAAGGAAGACGAACAGCGCGCGGCCGAGAAACACGGAAGAGACCCAGGGACGGACACCGCGGGAACAAAGAAAACAACGGCAACTTCAGATTTGTTCACCCGTGCTTACGCTACACGAAGGAAAGTGTTCTCATTCATCATGCAGTGACGCAAGTGATTACCTCAAGGCCTCTAGGCTCACTGCTGTCGGTTTCTTCCGATCCTCCTCAGCAGGTCTAGGGCTCTCTGACTTCCAGATCATGCTAGCTGTCGAAGGCCTGCAGGCTCTATCCCTCCATCTGCTGTTGCCTGGCTCTGAGGGCGGCTTGAATTTGCCTCTCCAAGCCTGAAGGCGGGGGCGCTCCGAAGATCTGCTCCGCTCCCGCCGCCCGCGGCGCGTGGACGACGGCCCTCCTGAGGTCTGCGATCTGAGTGCCCTGCTGGAGCTTGATCGGGTCCCTGGCTCCCCTCGCGGATCGCATTGATCTGGTCCTCCCAGCGCTTGGTCCAGGGGTTGCTGGCTAGGCGGTTGGACGCCAGGCACAGCTTCCAGCGCTCTGGCTGCCCCTGCTCCGCGCGCGCCTTCTTGACCTTGAAGTAGCTCAGGGTGTCCCCGAAGTTCTGCATGTCCATGACGTCGATGGGGTATCGGACGTCCGTCAGGGTAGCTTTGCGCTCGCCCTCGGCCTTGTCGTTCTGGCCCATCTCCACGAAGAAGTCCATGCGCGCGTGCAGGTGTGGCGGCCCCGTTGTCTTGCCGCCCTTCTCCTTGGTGTGATCCGCGCATGTCGTGCCTGCCTCCACGGCCGCGCCCACCGCGGGGTGGCCTCCTGGGGCCAGAAAGAAGTCCCGCAGGCTGCCTGACAGCTGGCGTATCATCTGCGCGCTGTTGAGCGTGAACTTCTGCATCATCGTGATCTCCGCCTCGAAGGATGCGTCGCCTGAGCCGGCTCCTCTGCCAGTGACCCTCTTCGGCTCTCCACGGGCGAAGTTTGCCGGGGGGGCGCCGCTGCCGCCGCCTCTGCTGTCTGGCTGCGCGGCCTGCTGCCGCTCGCCGCGGTGCGCCGCTCCATCGCCTGGGCCCTGGAAGTGAGCGCGCGCGTGTATGAGGTGGTTTTCGAGAGCTGTGTCCTCGCGGGCGCAATATCCGCGCGCGTAGACTGTCCGTTGTTAGGGGTCGAATGCAAAGTATGTGGCTCGATTAGGGCATCGCAGCGGATTGGACTTCGACATGGTGAGAACGCGACGAAGGCAAGACGCTCGACTTGCGAATGATGTGCAGCACCAGGGGCATACGTTTGTGCCTATGACCATCGAATGCAGGTTCCTCATGTTGTGCGCGTGCGTGATGCGCGCCGTCAGTGCCTTATCCCGCACCCGATGCCCTGGCCCTCCTCCCCCGTCTCGCGCGTGCACACGTACTCGTCTATGCTGGTGCTGTCGTCGTCGTTGCCGTCGGGGCGTCGCCGCCGTCGTTCGCCCGCGTGTCATCATTGCTGTCCGTCGTCGTGATGCCGAGCCGCCGTAGTAGCCTAGTCACCCGCAGGGCCCCTTCAGGAGATAGTAAGTGCCTCATCCTGTCTATCATTTTTTCGTTGAACTGCTTGCCTGCCTCGGGGTCTTCAAGAATCCCCCAGACGTTATGGCGGCCCCCAAATAGTGTCGAAACTCGGGCCTGCATTCGCCAGGGCCTCGAGATCGCCCCGGAACTGTGGGGCCCAGGGGGCGCTGTGGGCTGCAAGCCCTCCGTCGGTATCTAGTCGGGGCTTCTCGAGGCGACGGTCCATTTCGAGGGCCCTCTACATGGCCGCGAGAACTTTTTTTGTGATTTTTGGGCCCCCTGGCGATCTGCCGCCACAGCAACAGTCTCTGTGCACGTAGCTCGGCGGCGGCGCGACTGATGTCCCAATGCTGAAAGACGGCGCTGTTCGCTAGTGTCCTGATCCTGTCCTCGTGCTCCGACTCGGCTCTGCCGTGCATCAAGAAACGGAACATTCGGACATGCGCGGAGTCTACCTTTTCTGCGCTGGGAGGACGAACGCCGTGATACCTGTGATGGCAGCGCTGTACACGAAACGCAGGAAGAGCGTGCAAAACAACTTGGGGTGGAGCGGCTGCCTCCAGACTTTTCCTATGGATCTCCAATCGGCTCGGGCTCCTTTGATGCTCTTCATCAACACGGTCCTGAGCATCCCGTCGAAGCTTAGCGCAGGTCCCAGGACGCGAACTTGCCGACACACTGCTCCCTGGACGCGCTTGTGTCGAACAGGCTCCTGGACGCTTCAAAAAGATCCCTTCCCGTGCAAACTGAGGATATGGTTGGTCTTGTCTGCGTTCAAAAAGTGGCCGTTCTTCTGGGTGTGTGTCTGTAGTGCGCGCAGCGTGGTTCAACTGCATGGTGACGTGTCGCGCTTGAGGTCCATGCGCATGTATTTGTACTCTAGAGACGGCACCAACAAAAAACAACTTTTATGTTTACTACCTACATCCAGTGAACCTGGGCATGTGCCCTTCAGCCATATGTAGCTCGTGTCTGTGTCCGCGAGTTCGTTATTTCATGCTGATGCTGTCGGCGCGTAGATATCAACAAAGTCGCATGCGGCCAGCGAGTGGCCCATCGTGGCGCCGCTGTGAGGAAGATTATCCCGGCAAAGCAACCTAACAGCGATGTGTATCAGCATATCTGAGAGAGCGTGATCCACCGCCGCTTTACTGTGGAAAATTGCCAACCTTTTCCTCCGGAACCCGGGGGTCGCCCCCCCCCCCCCCCCCCCCCTCCGAAAATCCTCACCCCCCCCCCCCTGCCTGGAACCCCCCCCCCCCCTCCCCTGGCCCCCCCCCCTCACCTGACCCCTCCCCCCCCCCCCCCCCCTCCCCCTCGAAAACCGAGGGGGGTCACTACCGGTTCGAACCCCTCCTCCCCCCCCACCCCCCTCCGGATCCGGAAAACCGAGGGGGGTCACTACCGGTTCGAACCCCCCCCCCCTCGAAAACCGGAGGGGGATCACTCTCGGTTCGAACCCCTCCCCACGCCCCACTCACCGCCAGCAAACGACTCCCGGTCCCTACCACCGTCCGCATCACATCCTCCACTGTTGTTCCCAGCACCACTGTCCTCACCACCACTGTCCCCACTGTGTCCCCACCAGTGCCCCCACCACTGTCGCACTGTCCCCACTGTCCCCACCACTGTTCCCACCACGGTTCCACTCTCCCCACTGTCTCCACGGCCCCAACCACTGCCCGACTATCCCCACTGTCCCCACTGTCCCACTGACTCCTCCGCTGTCCCACTGAGCTGTCCCACTGTTCCCACCACTGTCCCCACTGTCCCCACCACTGTCCCCACTGTACCTCTGTCCCATTGTCCCACCGCCGTCCTCGCCACCGCCTTCACCACTGCCCCCACCACCATTGTACCCTCCACTGTCCCATTGTTTCCACCTCATTCCCACTGTGCCCACACCACTGTCCCCACCACCACCGTCCCCACCACTGCCCACTGCCCCCCCTGTTCCCACCATTGTCCTCACCACTGTCCCCACCACTACCGGCCCTCTACTGTCCCACTGTCCCACTGTCCCCACCACTGTCCCGCTGTCCCCTCACCACTGTCCCACCAACACCGTCCCCACCTCTGTCCGCACCCCCACTGGGTTTTCGAGTGTGGGGGGGGGGGGGGAAAGGGTTCGAACCGGTAGTGACCCCCCCCCCTTTTCATGATGAGCTGGGGGGGGGGGGGAGGGGTTCGAACCGGTAGTGACCCCCCCGGTTTTCCGGAGGGGGGGGGGAGGGGTTCGAACCGGTAGTGACCCCCCCCCCGGTTTTCCGCCAGCAGCGGTAGAACGCGCTCTTTCGCATATCTGGAAGCATTCCCCTTAAGATTCAGGTGATCATCCAGTTGTAGAATTCTGCTGTTCTCGCAGTCGCAGTCGCATTCGCAATGACAGTCGCAGTGGCAACGGCCTTAGGATCCAATGGAATCCTAAGGATTCCGAGGGATTCCTACGTCATCCTTAGGCATCATCAGGAATCCATAGGAATCCTTAGGAATCCTGATTCCTGGGGATTCCTAAGGATTCCTGAGGAATCCAAAGGATTCCCAAGGATTCCTGAAGATGAATAAGTATGCCTACGGATTCCTAAGGGTGCCTACGGATTCCTAAGGATTCCTAGGGATTCCCAAGGATTCCTATGGATTCCTACGGATGCCTCAGCCTGCCTCAGTTTCAGCCTCAGCCTCAGCCTGCCTCGGCTTGCCTCAGCCTCAGCCTCAGCCTGCCTCGGCCTCAGCCTCAGACTGCCTCAGCCTCAGCCTCAGCCTGCCTCGGCCTCAACCTACGAAAGCCTCAGCCTCAGCCTGCCTCAGCCTCAGCCTGACTCAGCCTCAGCCTCAGCCTCAGCCTCAGCCTCAGCCTGCGTCGGCTTGCCTCAGCCTCAGCCTCAGCCTGCCTCGGCCTCAGCCTGCCTCGGCCTCAGCCTCCCCCCCCCCCCCCTTCCCCCCCCACCCATTCAGCCCCACTTTGTCTCAGCTTCGGCCTGCCTCGGCCTGAGCCTGCCTCGGCCTCGCAGCCTGCCTCGGCCTCAGCCTGCCTCAGCCTCAGCCTCAGCCTGTCTCAGCCTCAGCCTGTCTCAGCCTCAGCCTGCCTCAGCATCAGCCTCAGCCTCAGCCTCAGCCTCAGCCTGCGTCGGCTTGCCTCGGCCTCAGCCTCAGCCTGCCTCGGCCTCAGCCTCAGCCCGTCTCAGCCTCAGCCTCAGCCTGCCTCGGCATCAGCCTCAGCCTCAGCCTCAGCCTCAGCCTGCCTCGGCTTGCCTCGGCCTCAGCCTCAGCCTGCCTCGGCCTCAGCCTCAGCCTGTCTCAGCCTCAGCCTCTGCCTGCCTAAGCCTCAGCCTGCAGCCTCAGAGCCTCAGCCCAGCCAGCCTCAGCCTCAGCCTCAGCCTCAGCCTTCAGCCTGCAGCCTCAGCCTCAGCCACAGCCTCAGCCTTGCCTCAGCCTCAGCCCAGCCTCAGCCTCAGCCTCAACCTCAGCCTCAGCCTCAGCCTGCCTCGGCCTCAGCCTCAGCCTCAGCCTGTCTCAGCCTCAGCGTCAGCCTCTCAGCCTCAGCCTGCATCTGCCTCAGCCTCAGCCTCAGCCTGCCTCAGCCTCAGCCTCAGCCTGCCTCAGCATCAGCCTGCCCCAGCCTCAGCCTCAGCCTGCCTCGGCCTCAGCCTGCGTCAGCCTCAGCCTCAGCCTGCCTCAGCCTCAGCCTGTCTCGGCCTCAGCCTCAGCCTGCCTGGGCGTGCTTCAGCCTCAGCCTCAGCCTGCCTCGGCCTCAGCCTGCGAAGGCCTCAGCCTCAGCCTGCCTCAGCATCAGCCTCAGCCTCAGCCTCAGCCTCTGCCTGCCTCGGCTTGCCTCGGCCTCAGCCTCAGCCTGCCTCAGCATCAGCCTCAGCCTGCCCCAGCCTCAGCCTCAGCCTGCCTCGGCCTCAGCCTGCGTCAGCCTCAGCCTCAGCCTGCCTCAGCCTCAGCCTGTCTCGGCCTCAGCCTCAGCCGGCCTCAGCTCGGGCATTCAAAATATGGCACAGGACTTGTGTTCTGGGAACACGAAGAACACGAAATGGCCCACAGTTGGCTGCAAGCAATCAAAATATTGTACAAGAGTCGTGTTCTGGGAACACGAAGAACACGAAGTGGCCTACAGCTGGCTCTGGGCATTCAAGATGTGGCCTGGGAGTGATGTTCTGGGAACACGAAGAACACGGAGTGGCCTACAGTTGGCTCTGGGCATTCAAAATGCGGCCTGGGAATGGTGTTCTGGGAACACGAAGAACACGAAGTGGCCTACAGCTGGCTCCGGGCATTCAAAATGTGGCCTGGGAATGGTGTTGTGGGAACACGAAGAACACGAAGTGGCCTAGAGTTGGCTCCGGGCATTCAAAATGTGTCCTGGGAATTGTGTTCTGTTGGCTCCGGGCAGTCAAAATGCTGCTCCTGGCAATCAAAATGGGGAGTCCCCGGTTTTCCCCAGCATCCGCCGGATCCTGCCCAGACCCCCCTGGGGAATCAGGATGCTCTCTTTTGACCCCACTAGAAACCTATCAGTCTTCGCTGCTACGCAAAAGTCAGCGGCGCCGGCATGGGCTTCTGCATGAACTGTTGCTTGCTTGATTGCCTGCTGAAGTAGATGTACGTTTTCTCGTCGAGCTGTGAGTTTGTGATGGGCTTTAAGACTTTCGCGGTGCGTGCA